CGGCTACTTGTCCCGGCGGAGGATCGTTTATAGCCTGTAGCGCGATTTATTGTAATGCTTTTTTCCTCAGTTGGTCAGAACAAACGTGGCAGACTTGTTACTTACTTGTTCAGATGACAATATACGGTGAAAATTCTTATTTAGCTCATATATTCCAAGACGTAGGCTAGAATCTGTGATTGTAAAGCACAGTAAATATCCACACTGGTGCAGTGACTGACTGCCACACATATTCCTCAAAACATTAGATTCATCCGCGCTGGAGCCGTGCCGGCACACAACCCACGCAAGGAAGATAATTCCGCAAACAGCTGCAATTGCAGGTTTTCAAACAGAGATGTCGACAGAGGCAAAATTTACAGACTGCAGCTTTAAATGTTTAAACCGGGAGTAGATATTTTAATTGCAGCACCTGGAGACCCACAACATGTTGAGGGAGTTAGTTATTTCCTGTTTAATCAGTATGGCGAAGAAAGTAGACTAGCAGGTCTTAAGCAGCTCATTAGAGGTGAAATTCTACAGAGTAAAATTAAATCACTCGAAATGATCCATGCTGCGTTAATTGTCCATGATGATTCTTGATTAAACTCCTTATGTATGTACTATTAGGACAATCATGAGCGGGGATTAACCTTTCTTGGTTAATTTACTATCAGCAACAAAAAGAAGATAAAACCGCTTTGAATAAATAGCATGATTAATCTTTGTTCATATAAATTCAAAAGTAATCATTGGAGTGTGACATATTGTCATTGAATTGTTCAACCAATTTAGGACCAACTCATTGGAAAACCAGAATCTACCCTTTTTTTCAATTATGCCGTTGTTAGATTTTTTGGGGGGGATTTGTCACATATTAAACGGTGTGCCAAATCAACTAGTTGACTACTAGTTTAGTTGTAGAAAAGAAAGTTCTAAATGTCTTATTTATTTTCAAGGAAAACTATTTAATACACTAAAGCTACAGTGCAATTTATGAATTTCCCCACAATCATTCGTATACATAAACCATAATTCATAAATACGTGTTTTTGTCATGGATGCATACACATAGATTCCTCTTAGCAGCTGTCTCTTTGTGCCGCTATACGTACAATAAACTGGAACAAACAAAGTAGGTCTGTGAACACTTGAAAACAAGTTGACTGTGTCTGCAACCATAGTTATACGCATATATGAATATCTATATATGTAATTGACTTCAGCAGATGATTTTGCTAAAGTAACACAATACAACAAAATGAACGTGTTAGCTAACATGACATCAAAAAGTTATATATACTTTATAAAGTAAAACAGTAATATAAAGAACAAACCAACACATTCTCACCTGTAAAAGATTATCCCATTTCTTTGGTAATTTAAATCTTGGTGATTTTTACAACCCAAAGATGCGCAATGTTGTGGCATCTTGGAAAACTCATTGATTTGTACTGTGAATAACGATACGTTGACCATTCCAAGATGGCGGACGCGTCTACATGTCTGGAGCTGTCGAATGTGGAATCTACATGTACATATCTATGATTTTTGGCACCTGCGCATTCCCACTTTTTCCATTTAACCTTGACTGTTTAATATCTGTTGACCTCTGATTCCATTTTAAGGCATATTTCACACACAGTTCTGAGGTGAACCACAGAGTAACAGACATCTAACCAAACTGACATTCAGTTAAAAACTTGTTTGTCAATGTGAAATTCGGAGCTGTTTTTAGACAGTCCTGCTAAAAAGGCTTTTCAAACCATTTTGTAGAAATGCCAGATGCCACTCCATCCATTTTGTTGACATTCTCGTTTTGGGAAGGAAAAGACTGAAAAATACAAAGAACAGGAAAATAAATATGTTTATGCTGGAGAGAAACTTGCTCAAAGATTGTTTATCGGCTTGTACGAAATAAAACTACCGGTACAAATCAGCATCAGCTTGTGGTGCCACCAGGTGTCACAAAGTGTTAAAACAGACACAAACACTGCAGCATATTTACAAGTTGTGATACAAGTTAAAAAGATGACAGAACAGGCATGGAAAGAGGTAAAACTATGGTTTTGCATTTTAATGTGCAACACAACCCAGATATTTGTCAAAAAATCGTGTTTATTCAGACTTTTGGAAAAAGACTGCTTCAGGATCTGCGATTGTTCAGCTCTCTTTGTTTCCAGTTGTTTCCAACCTGAAAATAAGCTTATGTTGATTGATTTAGCAGAACCATTGGACTTTCGGTCTAGACAGATTAAAAACATGTACTCATTCTTCATGTACTGATAAAATTGCATCTAAACCGTCCTACGTGGGCTTCCTACTAAAACAGGACAATCGTGCACGATCGATGGTGGCTTCTGCTCTGCGTAATAATTGTGACCCTGTTCAATAAAGTCAACCAGACAAAGGACCACTGACCTGGCATATTATCCCAGAGAACAGGAAGACTCATTTTAGCCTTCAGCTCTTCTCCGTGAATAAGAAAAGACTCAGGGGGACCAGCATCAATTCATAGAAAATACACCACCTCGCAATTCCTTTCAAATAGCATATTATCCATTTCTGAATCCTCTCGGTATGAAAGCAACAAATACGACTTTTCTTTGCTTCAAGGAAAAACATGGAACTGAGAAGTATCTTTTACAACGAGGAGAATCAGACTTGCTGACTTTGCTGCTATAGGACTCTGAGGCAACATTTAAACTCATTTTAAAATGAAACTAAGCGTAGGTGTGGGACATTTTTTTTTCCCTTTTCAGGAAGAACATCTTTGAGGCCACTTGGTACAATTCATCAAAGCAGTAAAATTCATATTTTATGAGGCTGCGGTATTCAGGACGACAATCTGCACCTTTATGACCAAAGGCTGTGAAAAGTTCTCACAATCATAGTGGGACAGAGAAACACAGGCAATCTCTGGCTCTCGGGACAAAGGATTGACCATAACCTTGAAGTTGTGCTTTTTATTGTAAATAGGGCGGGAGAAAGAGCTTGAGTGTGTAGCTTGAGGTGTAAACATGAGAAGCAACCTTATCAAAACAGTACAAGACAAGTATCGCCAGCCATTTAAAAGGTCTATAAACAAATCTTTTACAATGTTTGGTAGAGATATTTCTAAATATGTGTAAAACTACATACAGTAGTGTATAGCATGTGTTGTATCAACAACTGGAGCTGGTAGACTGGTTTTGGCTCCTCCAAACCCTGATAAGCTGCCTTTAGAGGTTAGATTTGCACCTTCGCACCAGATTATTATTATTATTATTATTATTATTATTATTATTATTATTATTATTTTATGGTGGCTTTGTGGTTTTCTGTCAGTACTCTGCCTTAAGTTTTTATATGTTGATAATATATTACTTTTTGTACTTTGATCAGTCTTGTGGCTGTTTTTAAATGTGCACTACGAATAAGTTGACCTTGAACTAATCAGACATGTTTCCAAAAGGGCAATTACATAAGATATATTCTTGCATTTGGAAAAAAAAAAAAAGCTGGATGGAGAGCAATGGAACATAATGTGGGGAGCTTTTTTTAACTGGACTCTTTGTAACTTGACAAAATGTGACTCAGTGGCCAAAGATGTCCATCTGGTTGTACATTTTTAGAAAAGATGAAGTTTAAAAGATGCAACTACTGAGAGGGTTTTACCATCCAAACTGTCTAAATCACAGCAGCTGTCAAATTGTCAGTTGCTCATCCTTGTCTCATTAGTGTCTGTAGATACATTTTTTTTTATTTTAGCATACACCGAAACATACAATATAAATATACTGACAACGTCTACAGTGTACATTTTACTATTATAGATAATGGTACAATATACTATTATAGAGTTATTATTGTTACTATTATACAGCAGATGGGGAAGATTATTTTTGTATTACATTTTTTTGTAATTAAGTAAATGATGGTTTCATCCTTGCATACAGCTTTTATAATGCTCCTGAAAACTATAAGAAAATAAATGTAATTATGTTTATTATTATTTTATGGTGGAACCAAAATCAAATTTTCAATGTAATGGTATTGAACATATTTAATGTCAGTGATTAAATTCAATAAAATAACCTAAAATCCATTAATTTTACCCTATAAAGCCTATACTGTATTTTACATTTGATACACACATTTCTAAGGCCTCTTTGCTGGAATTTTGTAATTTAGTAAATCAGTCGTTTATGTTTCGGTATATGTGCAGCATGTGAAATAGTTTGCTCAGACCTCCTTTGTGCAATTTAGACTATTTAAGAAAATGTATAGCAAAAAAAAAAAAAAAAGCTTCCAGACCATACTAAACTGTCCAAAGCAAGTAATATCATTAACC